ATGAAATTTGACGCTCTACGAGAAAAACAAAAAAAAAACATATCGAGCAGCAGCGGGAATAAATTTTTCAGACCTCATTTGCTATTTTGAAAATGTTACAAAAATTAAAGCGGGTTTCAATAGACAACAAATTTGTGATTATTGAGAATGTAATCGATTAGCAACGAGAACAACCTGGAAGAGCGGTAACGAAGCAGACAGTTTAAGATGCGGCACAAGGCCATCGAACGATACCACGTTGATATCATGGTAATGGAAATGTGCAGATGGTTGCAGTTGTTGTGCAACACTTTGTGCCTGACTTGCTGAAAACGACATCAATGGAAAAAATCCAGTGAAGCTTTCAAGTAGTCATTCAGACAAATCTCATCGCCAAACTTCATCGAATGGTTACATATGTCAATAAAATTGAGAATGAATGAATGATCACTTCTCAGATGATCGCTAACGTTGAAAAACACCTTACAATTGAGTGATCAGTTCATCAAGTCGACTTATGAAAATTGACTGAAGTTCATAAAACCTTTCCATTTCCATGAATTCATACAAACGATCCCGATTAGCGGCTAGCCATCATGAGTGAGATGAATAAGATGCAACTGAAGTGAAATGCTTCTAAGAAAAGTTCTCGTAAAAGATGCATACCAGCAACGGTAACGCCTGGTTGCGATGCTACGCCCACTGTTTCAATCTCACTAACAGGCGTTGATATTTGTCGCGGTGTTCCTGCTCCAGTTTCCACAGTTCCATCTGCGCCCAGACGTACGCCAGCCACAGGTGATGTACCAATCTGAAGTGCTCGATCACGATACAAACTCCCGAACACATCATCAAATTCACTCGTAAAGTAACTCATTCAATTGATAGCACCCTCATGCCATATCACAGCTCAACTGAATAAGTTACGCTCCATTCAGTGAAGCAACACAGCTGCGATATGTTTCATAACACTCACGTGCATTTCAGGTTGTTTCAGCATCTTGAGGTCACTCAACTGCTGTGGTACTCGAAGCAAGCGTTCAGTGTCTTTGAGCACACCCTCAATACTAACTGCTCGTAGATCGATACTCAGTTCTTTGCATAACACTTCTATTTCAAATTTCAAATTCAGCTTCAAATCCGGTTCATTGTGCAACTCGGCTAATATACGCATTATGGCACGTATCCACGCACAATC